GGCTATGGGTGTTGCACTGTACGTGATGTCATTAGCAGGTCTATGACTGCTGCAGCAGAGGAGAAAAGGGGTTGTGGGTGCCAGTCTTGGGGTGGGGTTCAGGAAAGTAAAAGGCCCTTTACACAATTCCACTAGACAAAATCGAGCAGTTAACCCTTGCAGTGAGGGGGAGCCCCACTGCCAAAAGGAGTTTGTTTTTTTCGCCCAGAGATAGGCTTTACCTGCTTCCCGGCCGGCCGTTGTACATATACGGCCGGGAGCCTCCTGGATGTAACAGGCCGTGTATACACGGCCTGTTAGCCCTGCCCACGCTGTCAATTTAAAAACAGGCAGCGATGCCCGTTAACATACAAGCGATCCGCCGGCTATAGAGACGGCGGAAAAAGTTAATAGGAAAAAAATTAAAGTTTCCACCAAAAAATTGAAAGTTACACATAAAAAAAGAATTTAAAAAAAAACAAAAAAATGTTTTAAAGTTCCCAACATACATACACGCATGCAAACATGCGTCAGTGGCACATACCTGCAAAAATAACGATTTCACCCATTACGCCGCACATGTTGCATATCGCCGCGAACGTCGGTGAGAGTAATAATTTAAGGGCCATCAATCACTGATAACACTAAACTGATGAGCTGTAAAGCTTTTAAAGCGTCGCCTATGGTCAGTTTTGAGTATGGTAGTTTTTTGGGATTTCGCGGGTGCGCGCAATATTTAAGCATGACACGTTTGGTGTCTATTTATCCGACGTGACCCCGTCTTTTATATTTTACCAAAATAATTGGGTAATAATAATTGTTTCCTAACAATGTAAACCGTTTTTTTTCAAAATTTTAAGGAATTTTCCCGAAATATAGTAAAAAAATAAAACCCCCCAGTGGTGATTAAATACTACCAAAAGAAAGCTCCATCTGTCCCCAAAAAAATGGTATAAAATTAATTTCAGTACAGCGTTGCATGACGGAATAAATGTCAGTCAAAGTACCGCAGCGCTGAATACTGAAAAATGGCCTGGCCAGGAAGGGGGTCTAAACACCTGGTCAGCAAGTGGTTAAAAAATAAGATCGCAAAGCAATACCAATGTGCCATTTCCTTACATTTCTAGACGTCAGACAGACATGTGTAAGTAGCCACATATAGGGCCCTCGATCCCCATTAGGCTGCTGGATCTCCACTGCAATGCTAGGATTTCCACAATAATAACCCTGTTTTTGGTATTTGATCCCCAGAAAACAGCTATACTTTCTACTATAGCAGAGCAGAAACATATGCCTGGATACCTGCAACTGGCGGCAACCTCCCCATTTTAATATTCACAAGCGTTCTTTTCCGCCTTACCTGGCTGCGAGTGTAAACCGAGAGGTGTGGGGAAATACTTTGCTGTGCAAAATGGCGGCAATTGGCCTGTTGATGGAATAAGGCGCCCACCAGCTGCTCCAGAGGAAACACGGCCGGGCTCCAGTGGCAGGCCTGGCAGCCCTAAGGGGGGCATGTTCATGAATTCTCGGCCATCCATCTTTATATAGAATCCTTGAACCGGACCATGGTTCAGAGCCTACCTAAAAAGGAAAAACATTTTAATACATAGTTAGATTTTGAATATGTAGAAGCTTAAACATTTCATTGTGTTTGTCACAAATATATTTCCTCTACAGGTAAAGTACAAAACTATAAGGCTCATTCACATGGGCACAGAGGTCCATGTACCATGAAAAATGTCCGCGAAAAACAGGTTCTGTGTGCAACCCACCCATACAAATCAATGACAGGCTGCGGCTGTACACTGCTAAACTCTGCTCTGAGCATTTATTTGCGTACAGGTATGCAAGTCCCTGGTTATATGCTTGGAGTTGCGTTTACCAGCGTAGTCGCAGCCTGTCATTGATTTGTACAGGTGGGATGTACACAACACCCCTGGCGCAGACCTCCATGTAAATGAGCCCTCAGCCTAGATTCATACTACAGCTGCTGCACAAGTATGTGTTGTTCAGAGCGTTTATGATGCGTTCCTCATACATCTTCATACTTAAAGTGTTTTTCTCTTAGCCATTGACCAGCAACATCTGCTGTGACATCATCTTCCTTTGAGAAGACTTTAAAAACGAATCACAAATTTACCCTTGAAGTGGGGCTACCCCTGCACGGTAAGGGTTAAGTTCTTGATTTACCCGGGGAGCTTCTTTAAACCATAACAAAATACATATAAATGCGTTTTGCATGCACTTCCTCTGTGGGGCTAAAAACACACTCCATAGCACCTGAATCATGGTGCATCGATGTGAACGGGCACCACTGAGAATGAGATTTCCATCTTCATACATTGCTGCATAAGGGCAGAAGCACTAAGGTCAACGGGGCAATAAAGTACACAAAAATTACATGAAAGGCAAAACACCCAGCTCTATCCTCCAATAACATACCTCCGGCGCTCTTCCCACGGATATACCCCCGGCGCTCTTCCCACGGATATACCCCCGGCGCGCTTCCCACGGATATACACCCGGCGCGCTTCCCACGGATATACACCCGGCGCGCTTCCCATGGATATACCCTAAAGTGGGGTATACACAGGTAGATTTTTGCACAAACGTTCATAGGAAAATTATCATTGGAACATTCGATACTTGTTCAAAATTTCATTTAATTTTCGCTTTTATTTAACATTCTATTTTGGAATAAATGAAATAAACAAAAACCACATTGACTGTTAGAAATTGGTTCGATCGAGAAACATTTTCCATCATGCTCCTTCAAAAATATTCAGGAACATTGTTGTTTTTGTCTGTTGATTGCACCATACTAATTGATAAATATTCAAACGTTCTGAAAACGAATGAACCATGTATACCCTACTTTAGCGTGCTTTCTATGGATATATATGTGGAAGCATAAAGAGGTCATACATCCAAACCGGATTTATGTGAAGTCTAATTGGACAACACGATGGAATACTGACATGTTTAAATAACAAGGCACATACAAGTCATTTCTTTCACTATGCCATCAGTGTCAGGAGCCATTTTTCCCTCGCACCTAATCTAGCGTAAAAACTGGAACTGCGTCTTCCAACACATTATTTACTACACTGAAATGTCAAAAATGTATCCAAAAAAATCCCGACCGGCCTAATTATACCAAAACGATGAAAGCAAAATGAAAACAGGAGCGAGGAACAAGGGCAAAAATATCAGAAAGGATCTGGAAAAAACCAGCAGAAAATAAAAACTCCGACTGAGCTGGCAGGACAACACGGCAAATAATAAAATCATACACAAACCCACCTACAAGAAAACGTTTTAAGAGCACAGAGTCCCAATCGTGTAATGTGACCTATATTTTACCATTGATAGCACTATAATGGGTACAAACGGCTCTATTCCTCGACCACAGAAAACTGCGCATTGAATGGGAAACTGTGATGGGCATAATAGGACTACGCTGCTCTATTTCTGTACGGGGTCTGCTGGTAATCGAAGAAAAATGCCAAGATGCTGGGGTGGGTGGAAGGGGCACTGGACACTAGAGTGGATTGAATCCTAGTGGATCATCCATACACAGAAAGATACCATGTTGGCACTCACTATACATCCTGCATAGATCTATACTGGGCATCAATCATAGAAATATGTCGGTAATGAAGATGGGAGGCCAATTACCCCCTACACCTGATCAGATGGCGGCTGTACGCAGAGACAGTCCTCAGGATTCTTCACGGATGGATATTATTTTCCAGTGCAGAATTCCAATACCACAGAGCAGAGGGAAGGGGGCTTCATATTTCCCAGAACCCTTGATGACGTGCGTCTGGACCCCTAATCTGCAGAAGGCATCAAGCCAGGGAACCGTCGCTGGCAATTGTGACCTATCCAATCTGATTGTACGATCGTCTTCGGCCATCATTCACATTTGAACGTTTTCAGGTGAGTTTGAAGCTTTATTTTTCAGGCTTGTGCATTTGCTTCACTAATAGAAAGCGAATTACTAGGAGGAAGGGACGGTAGTAAGGCGCAATATTACGTGTTTTTCGGGCACTCTCGCCTGAAAATAAAGCTTGTGTACTTTATTAAGCTGCAAGTGACACAAGGTTCAGTTGTGAACGAACACCATTGGAGAGAACGGGATCCTTCAATCTGGGTGCTGTCACGCTTTAGGAAATACACAACAAACCACTCAGATGTGACTGGGGGCTTCATGTGAGCATACATTATACAATCGTACCTATTCACACTGAGGGGTCTCAGGACATTTGGAAGCTTTTTATTTTTAGCATTTTTCAAGCGTGAGCATTTTTTTTTTAGTTCATGGAAAGCTGACTCTTGGTTGGTAGGCACAAAATCAAACGTTACAAGTGCATTTCAGGTGGTCTACGTGGCCAGAAACATGCGATTCTTCCCAAACAGAATGAAGATAGAGGATGCTGGTGGCATCCTCTATCCTCACTGATCCTATTAGCACCCATCTACCTCACATTTTTTCCAGCGCCAAGCTAAAAGAGACAGCGCTCAGGTGTGAACGCAAAGCGTCGGAAAGAGATTCTGCATGCTGAGCCTTGTCACTTCGGGAAGCATACCACAAACACTCAGGTGTTACCAGGAGCTTACAATCTGACTGTACAATTTTTCTTAGGAGTTACCAAAATTATGTAACATAAGGACACTTCTAAACAGTCCATCAGATTGTAAAATATATGGCCATCTTTGTAGCTGTATGGTCTAATGGATTACATACAAATCTAAAAAGGTTTGTCCTTGTAGTACAAGATTTTGGTAAATCAAAAAGATTGTAGTGATTATACAGTATGGAAATCGTGCAGTGTGTGTCTCCAGCGTTAGATCCTGGGATGGTAAAACACAGAGCTGTGATCCGAGCAGATTGTGGAGCCCAGATTTGGGTGTCCCCTGTATGTTTATAAAGAGGTCCGCCCCGCCCCCCTCCGGGACTCTCACTAGGACAGCCAGAACCCCCTCCGAGAACTTCCCGGGACCGCTCCGTGCTGCCAATGGAGGTGTGTACGGAGAGCAATAAAGATGGCTGCTCCCCATCGCCCTCCAGTACCCACACACCCCGACCTACTGCCACATTCACATCGCCAATATGGAGTCGGCCGTTTACCTTGCGTTGATCGGCGCAGCTCCTTCCTTTAGACAGCTGCCATCCTCTGGGAATTCCAAACCAACCCAACCCCGAGCAAAAAAAAACAACCCCACTCCTATGGCTAATGCGTGCGTCAATCTAGGGGCACGATCAATGGACAATCCGTGTATAATCCAATCGGCGGACGTGTTAGCGCTCCCCCCGAGCTTGGTGCAGAACTCCAACTCCGAACTGACGCAGCTGTACACAGTGAGCCGCCACCGAGAGCGCTAAGCAGAACTGAAACAAGCATTGTGTTCCTGACCCCGCCCCCTCCCGCACGGCCCACCCCGCAGCCTCTAGTCCGCCTCTGGTTGGCCGGCGTTGCCGCCAATCACTGGCGTGTAAACACTTTGGCTCTCGGCCATTTCCATTAAGTCAGTTATGGAGTAAGAAGCCCTCCTGTTTCAAGGCTTCCCGAAAGAGGCTGAATGGCGCGGAGCGGCGGTGAGAATTTTTGAGGGAAGGTTTCTAGGCTCCCCCCGGGGCCTTCCGTATGTTTGCAGTAGGTAGAATTCGATTGTTTTTAGCTCCTAACGCTGTCAGCTCCCACACAGTCGCGCACTGTAGTGTGCTATGCGATCCAGTGCCGCCCTCCAGGACCCTTAGTGATTGAGGCTTTGTACACGGCTCGCTTTTCCCAGGGTTTGAATCAGGATGCAGAATAATTCATAAAACATGGGGCACCTTTCAAGTACTGACAGCAGCATATTAAAGACGAGCTGACACATTGCAATAGGGGCCCCCCCCCCCCCCGAGTAACAATATCCGCGATGATCGCCTCTATTAATTACAATGCCTGGGTAACATTGCTACATTGTAGATGGTACTAGGGCGTTATGTACGTGTGTGTTTATCGCTGCAGAGCGTTTGTAACGTTTTTTTTTCCCGATCATTACTCACGTGTAAACGTCACATTTTATATAGAAATCCAGCCGAGGAGAGTTCGAGGAGGTTTCAAGTCGCCCTCAGCCAAACCCAGTACGGCGGTTTCAAGAAGCCCGGGCTGTTGCGGGCTGCAGAATTTCAGAGTCGCATAGAAAGATACAACTGTATAGGAGGACGAAAGGGGGGTCATGTAAAGCAGACTTTCTCCTACCGGGGTTCCTCCAGGGACTGCTAAGGGTTCCTCGAGGAGAATGACAAATATCTGCCCCTCACATAGGTAACTACTGGCACCCGTGATTATTTTAGATATCTGGAAGGGGGGAAATCTTCCCAATGACCACAAATGTAAGGATCATTCTTCCCAATGACCACAAATGTAAGAATTATTCTTCCCAGTGACCACGAATGTAAGGATCATTCTTCCCAAAGACCACAGTTGTAAAAGGTCATTGGGAAGAATGCTCCTTACATTAGTGATCATTGGAAATAATACTCTTTACATTTGTGGTCATTGGGAAGAATGCTACATTGGTAGATCTAGTAATTATTAACAGGGGTTTACCTGAGACCTGAAGTTATTTCAAGGATTTCTCCTTGTACAGAGGTTGGAGAAAGGCTGATCTAAACCAACTGATGGATATAAGCAACAGAAGGAAACCCTAACACACAGGTAGATGAGGAGTATGGAGGGGTGGGGGACTAGAAACTTCTAATAAAAGTATGGAAGGGATGATATGTGACCATTAGATCAAGGTGAAATGTTTTGCCCATAGCAACCAAGAAAATTTATTGTTGCACCTTCCAAATGAATAGTTAAAGATTCAAACTTGAATCTGATTATTACGGCCAAATTTCCATTTTCCTTCAGTTTCTGTTAATGAGCCAGAAATGATTAATTTTGCTATTCTGACCTAATTAGCATGGAATACACATTATGCTGAAAAAAAGAGCATTGTGCGCATTATTTTCCTCTGTGCATGCTAATTTAATGCACACTTTTGCACACGATACTGTTTTATAAGAGTAATAAATAGCATTTTTTTTAAAGTACAGACCCTTGGGCTGTATTACTAAAGCAATTGAGATTCTTCACTCGAATTGTAGCTGTGTTCACTTTGAATATCCAGTAAGATGCAGATGATATAAATAAACAGGAGTTTTCTTTTCACAAGACTGGATAATCGAAGTGAATCTTCACTCAATAATCAGAGTTGATTTTCAACTCTTCTAGTAAATCAGTTTCACTGTTTTATTGGCAGCCTCTGATAGTACCATTCATTCTCCCAAACATTTCAAAGGAAACAAGAAACCATCTAAATAAATATGGGTCAGCCCAACTCCGGGCACCAGAAAAAAAATACAGATGCAATGGGGCACCTGCCCCTTCCCCAGAGCGAGGAGTAAGATACGTAAAGCCCCGTTCACTCCAGGGCGTTTCGTCTTGCGTTTTTTTCCCACGCTGACACGCATGCACATCAAAATCCCATGTATTCCTTTGGGGCCATTCACGCAAACGCGCTGAATTGTGCGTAAAAATATGCCCATTGTATATAATAGTGGTGCTTATCAGCTCGTTTTGCTCTATAGGCTTCAATAGAGACACGCCGACCAGCTCGTTTTTGCGCTTTTTATTAGCGTGTTTTTGCAGATGAGACTGATTTTCATTGGACAACTGAAAACAAGCCTTAAAACGTTCTTGCATATGTACAGGAGATGCCTGTGAAACACGCAAAAAAGCGCTAAAGGCGTGGAAAAAACCGCTGTAGCCCTGGTGTGAATGGGGACTAAAGGCTGATATGAAATATGGGGGCTAGTATCAGCTGTTCTAGCATGCACAGCATATAAGCACATTATGAGTGACTTACCTTACAGGTAATTCGCTCCAGCACTGCGATGTCCGCTCTCTTCCCCCACCGGCACTGCCATCTTCACCCAGTCTTCCAGGTTTAACATTTTGGGCCTCTTGGTTGGCCGTGCCGGGATGCTGTAACTAGTGAAATGAATGGCAAACGCACTCATCAATGCATAACATGCTTTAAAGCAAGGTGGCATGGCGCATTGTCTTGTTGGAAGAAGCCATCTCCATTGGGATACGCCATCAACATGATAGGATGAACTTGATCAGCAACGATACTTGTCCCAAACCATAACACTGCCCCCACCAGCTTGAAGGGTTGTACTCATGCATGTGGGGTGCATGCTTTCATGCTGTTCCCACCAAATTCTCACTCTGCCATCTGCATGATGTAACTGGAAACGTGATTCATCGGACCACATTACTTTTTTCCAATGCTCGACTGTCCAATCCTTGTGTTCCTGTGCGAATTGGAGACACTTTATCTTGTTAACTGCAGACAGCAAAAGGTGTTCGAACAGGCCTTCGGCTTCCATATCCCATACGATGCAGTGTACGGCGAACAGTGCATTCAGAGATCATTTGAGAGGATCCCCGATTAAGATCTGCAGTAATATGATGCACTGTTGCCCTTCTGTTGTCTTGTACCAGTCTTGCCACTCTCAGTTCTGCCCTAACATTGACTAGTCGCTGACAGCCACAATTCGCACGTTCAGACCCAGATTTTCGGCTGACAGTCCAGTCTTTAAACACTTTAAAAACAGCTGCTCTTGAACATTTGACGAATTCTGCTGTTTTGCCTACAAACGTCAGGCAGTCATAATAATCTCGCCACTCAGTGTAGTCTATGAGAGCCTCCATCTTGGGGCATAAATAGCAAAGGTTGAATTGGGTGCAGGTGCATTTTTTTTAACCCTAGTTGCTAGACAGTGTATTTTCTCTAGTTATATCATCCCGGCCAAGCAAGAGGCTGAAGATGCTAAACCTGGAAGAAAACTGGGTGAAGATGGCAATGCCAGTGAAGGAAGATAGCTGACAGTGCAGCGCTGGAGGGAATTTCATAGGACTGCTGTAGCAACACATGCATGAATTAATACTCTGACCACTGCTACACAGATCCCCAGCACAAATGATATGTTGGCAGCCATTTCATTGAAATTCAAAAATCTCCATCCTTTTCCACTTCACACTCACAGGTATATGGTACGTCCTTCCTCCCTAGTAGAGACAGTAGTGGGTTAGAGAGACTTTGTTACATGATATTCTCAGTCATAATTTACACTGTAGCGTTTTACATTTCTGAATTCAGCCCACCTTGAAGAAGAGCTATAATAAAGAACTATTATACCAAACATAGTCTATTGTTTATTTCCTATTTCAATGATGTTAGCCATTTATAAATGCCTGTTGATACTGCTAGTGAATAGGTCTACCTCTCCTAGGATGAGGACATTAATAGCCTGCCATGAATTCAATGCAGCATTGTCACCTTGTGCAGCCACAGGGTGGACAGTGCTGCATTAATTTTATAGAAGATGACTATCAATGTTTTTACATCTGTATGACAGGTGCAGTGGCTGAGTGGGCAGCTCAGTGAAGCTAAGCCTGTGATTTGATCAGGCTCACCGTTACTAAGCTACACTGAGGATGGAGTCTCAGGTATGGACAGATCGGCCTCTGTGCCCCTTCTAACTGCAAATTATGGTAATTGTGCCCGATTTATGTACCTGCTTCCAACAGGTACATGAATCTGGGGCAAGCACTGACCTTTGGTGTGCAAATGCACGATGGTATTCTAAAAAGTGATATATATATTCTATAAATTCCAATAAAGTAAATAAGTTGCGCTTGATCTAAGATCTTAGATCAAGCGCAACTTATTTACTTTATTAGATATCTTCTTCACACAAAGTTGCTGCTGGTCCTATAAACTATTTAGCACCCATTCCCAGCGCAGTGAACCTTGAAACCAATTTCTATCCATTCCACTGATGGTATGGTGTTGAGGAACTTTAAGTGGATTGCACATAGCCCTGACTTTTATCCCAATAAAGACCTTTAACCCCTTCATGACTGAGGCCCTTTTTTCCATTTTTGCACCCTTGTTATATTCCACATTTTAGGCCTGAAAATGACGTAAAACCCCCCAACATTATATATTTTCTGAATGCCAAGACCCTATAGAATAAAATGGTGGTAGTTGAAAATTTTTATGTTGCGCAATATTAGCGCAACTCCTTATTAAACCCCAAAATTTAGTGACAAATTTAATTAAATGCCCCAAAACACAACAAATTACCCATTTTTTTAATGAAATAT